AAGGTCGATTCACACATAACAGTGACGTCTCAGTGCCGTGTCAGTTCAGTTTCAGTGACATCCGTGACGTGCCAGTGGAGTCTCTTCACACATATCCGTACAGTTTCAGTTCAGTTCTCAGCGATTGACGATCAGGATGGCTGCGTTTACAGACAGAGAATTGGCTATGATTGCTGTAATTTTAGATGAAGAAGAGACGCATCATACAAAGAAGCGCAAATGGGTACATGAGGCTTGGAGAAAAAGAGAAACTGAAGGAGAGTTTGCTACCTTATACAAGGAACTGATGCACGACGAAACAAAATTTTTCGAATATTTTAGAATGTCCGAAGAGTGTTTCAATATTCTTCTCAGTAAAATAGGACCACAATTAAAAAAACAAGACACTCATTGGAGAAAGTCTATTACACCGAGGGAACAACTAGCAGTTTGTTTGAGGTAAGTAATAACAATACAAATCTCGACAATATATATTTCTACATACTTAATGTAAAAAATCATGTTCAGTTAATTTGGAAAGTTGTGAAAATAACTTTGCAAAGGGTTGTTGGTCGCGTTTGAATCTCCCACAGATGAAAATTCATTTTGATTTGGATTTTGCAAACTATGTTGTGGAAATGGTGCAACAGGCGACGGTAAAGGAGTAGTTCCTCTTGACGTGGAGGTCGATGATGAGTGCTCGGAATGTAGCCTTGTGTTAACAAAATTGGGGCCAGGTCTTGGATATGAGTCCTGCTGCATGATCATTTCCATTTCGTATTTTTGCACCGTGTGAAATATTTCAGATTTTGCTAGATGCAAGTAATATGGCGTAAAACTTTTTAATGTTGGAGCTACACCAGCTAGAAATGCGTCCACGTGGTGTTGCGGAGCAGTAGTAACTTGCTTGTCCTTTTTGTCACTTATCAAATACTCCATTAGTTTTGCTGAAGCAGTTTGTTGTGGCGGTAGCCTTCTTGATGATGTTTTGAATGAGCGTTGAGTTAAATGAGATTGCTTGTTTTCACTCGAATCTAATACATTAGGTTCCAATACATCTGAAACATTTGGCCCTGATTCATTAGGTTCCGATGATACATATGTTTCTTCTGCATCCACATTCTGCGAGTTTTCTTCTTCATCTATGTTTTCTACATCGTTTTCAATATTGCCTTTTGTTTCCCTCTCGTAGAAATAATTGCTTAAGAAGCTTAGTTGTTCGAAATATTTATACCGTTTTATTTTTTTTGCAGGGTCTCCGCTCTTAGTTTTTGTTTTCTTCATCGATTTGCGATAATTGTCTCGTATATTATTCCATCTAGCTTTACAGGATGAACCTGAAACAATTTCAAAAACTGTAAAGTACAAGCAGTTACATAATATCTTTAATTAAAATATGATTTCTTTTTTCAGGTACTTAGCTACGGGAGATTCCCTAAAAACAATTTCCTTTAGTTATCGCCTGGGGCATAGTACAGTATACAAGATTGTAATGGACACTTGCAAGGTTATAACTGAGCGCCTTCTGAATGAAATGCTACCAAAGCCTACAACAGAGATGTGGAAATCTATAGCCAACGACTTTTTCACACTTTGGAATTTTCCTAACTGTTTGGGAGCTTTGGATGGGAAGCATATTATCATTCAGGCTCCACCAAATAGCGGCTCTCTGTTCTTCAATTACAAGAAGACGTTCTCAGTTGTTTTGCTGGCGCTTGTTGACGCCCATTACAATTTTATTGCGGTTGATGTTGGTGCTTACGGCAAGAACAGTTGATGTTGGTGCTTACGGCAAGAACAGCGATGGTGGAATTTTTTCAAGCTCTAATTTAGGCAAAGCACTTCAACGAGGTACCTTATCTGTACCAAGAAATTCTACATTGCCAGATACAACTACTGACGCTCCACATGTAATCGTAGGTGACGAAGCATTCCCTCTAAAAAGTTATTTAATGCGACCATATCCAGGACATGATTTAGACCTACAGAAGCGTATCCTTAATTATCGCTTATGTCGTGTTAGACGAATTGTCGAAAACACATTTGGCATTTTGTGTCAAAAATTTAGAATCTATAATAGGCGACTACAGTCCAAACCAGAAAATGTAGATAATATAATACTTTCAACATGTATTCTACACAATTTCATTAAAAAGTTTGGTGCAAACACGTACATATACCAAACAATCAACGCCAATTCGAATGAGACAAGAGAGGAAATAAGACTTGACAATCTGCCTATGCAGGGGGGCAATGCAACACAAGATGCTTTTCGGGTGAGAGAACTCTTCAAGGAGTACTTCAATTCAGAAATTGGATCTGTACCATGGCAAGAAGAGAGAATTACTTTTTAATATGTATAATATTAATATATGACTATACTTAACAAAATATGTATAGACATAAAAAATTATAATAAAAATAAGTAGGTACTTACCATTTACTTTCATTTCTCCTCCTATTTTATTCCAAATGTCGAGTTTGAAACTGTTGTCCATATATTTTGGATGTGACAAATCGTAAAGGACAGAATATTTACGAACCAATTCAATCAGCTGTTCATCATCCATTTTTGGTTTTTATTTTCAATCCAATACTAAACTAAAGTAATTATTTATACACATGCAATACGCACAAACGAGCAAACAACGCACAGACACGTCAGTGATTTATTAAAAATATCGTTGGCGACAATATGCACTTTTGACGGTACTGATACTGTTCTGACACTGAAGGTTAAAATACGGAACTGTGTCGGATGTGTGTGAATGCGTTCATTTAAATTCAGAGTAATGATATTATTTATGACTGATACTGATGGAATTTCACGGAACTGAGCGGATACGGCACTGATATGTGTGAATAGACCTTAATGGTTTTTTTTTAAATTAAACTTAACGGGCAATCATAAGTGAATAACGGTGAATTGGAAGGTGCTTAGCTGTTTTCCTGGCTCCTGAAGTTGTCCAGCGGTTGTTCGGCAGACTCGGTGAATAGACCAGTGGCTAAGTGTGGGGAAAATAAGGATAGGGAAGAGGGTAGGAGGGATCAAATGGAAAGAAATTTGAGGGTACCGATAGAAGACTGAAGACGGACGACGAAGACTGAAGGCGGACGACGAAGACTGAAGACGGACGACGAACGACGGGAGACGAAGAGTTTGAATCAGTACGGTACAGGTATAATAAATAAGAAGGGGAAAAAATACAAGGCCCTAAAACAAGACCAAAAATTACAAAGCAAAACTATCACAAAAAGGCTACTTACTAGATGGTGTGGGCCTTAAATGTAGAAACAATATAATATTTTAGGTGCTATAATTGGTGGTAGTAAATTAACGCTCGGATCCTAAAAAGGCAACGAAAAAATAGAAACGACACTGAACAACACGAATACTTACAAAAGGGGTTGAAACTCGGCGAGCAAGAGTTAAAATATTTATATTGATTGTACTCGGAAACACAAGTGCGCCTCTCCACTACTCTTGATCCCCAAAATAGGGTTTAAAAGGACGGATACTAAATCCTTTTGTTGAGTAGGGTGACTTTTAAGAGGGTAATATCCCAAAAATTGTTGGATAAATGCGGCTATAAAAATTTCGCACCTCACAAGCACACTACAGAAAAATGACAATTATCGAAAACAGAAAACGAAACGTAGAAGATTTTGAAAAAAAACGAACAGTAATACCAATAATCAAGGAACATAAAAAGTTAGCGGGAAAAGAAGAATAGATTTTTGAAAAGAGCGGGAAAGAATAGCGCAGTTTACAAGAACTGACAATAGATGACACTGAAGCGGACCAGAGGCGTAACATGGAATAAAATACTACACATAAGCTTCGAAAATTAGAATAGTGAAAACAGTAAGGAACGAAAAAGCGTGAAAAGGTAAATACAATTGTAAGAAGAGAGCAAGAATCCAAAGAAGCGAAGAAATCGAAAGAAGAAATTTAAGCAAATAGGCACGCCTATGTGATGAAAATCAAAACAAAATAAACAAATTCCTAACCTAAAAATCAAAATAACTAAAGCAAAACTAAACTAAAAATGGACCTGTAACAAAATGTACCAGTATACTGTCAGTAGCGTACGCAGGATTTTTTTTTCGGGAGGGGCTGAATCTCGAGAATTAAGACCAAAGTATGTAAATTGTCAAGTATGTCGTACACATTCGCAAGATCAAGTAAGCGAAGGAAAAAGTAAGGTAGTTTTTTCAGCAACTGCAACATTTTTATTGTCGCTTGGCATTTAAATAATTATACCATGACTAACGACTTACGGGATGTGCCGCTGAGTAGTTAAATCGATTATTTCGGGGGGGGGGGGGCTGTAGCCCCTTCAGCCCCCTCTTTGCGTACGCCGGTGCTGATTCTACTTACCTTTTCACTAACGATGGATATACGATAAAATCCTCGACGTAATACAAAGGTGATAGCAAAAACTGCACTGAGGATTATGTAGATACTGCATACATACGGTCGACTGATGGCGTACCGATTGCGATTGAATGGCAAAATTAATAAGCGAATTTTATTGTATAATATTTGACGGGAGTAGGTTTGTAGGAAATTTTTTGGTGTGGGAAAGGTATTTTTGTCGCGCAACAAATACAGAGCAAAATATTGTTTAGATTTTCATGGCCCACGACATGACATTTAGTGATCGCGGCGAAATTTCCGTCTCTAATATGTGTATGACAGGGTAATTTATTTCTGCTATCCGAAACGATACAAGAAGTGATTATATTTGTCAAGTAAATTACCCTTCCCAATTTTACACGTGTCAATTTTAATAACAGGTTACAGACTTGCGAATTAATCGAAGATTTTGCCGCCCGTGTTCGCAAAATGGTGTGCAGTTAAATGACAAACTAATGGCATCCCTTCCTCTTAAAAACCGAAGTAAAACGATTGAATTAAGTACCTAAATGGTATGTTAGTTGCCTATGTGATATGTAAAGGGTCATTAAATAAGTCAATGACTGTACAAATTGGTGCGAAATGAATAAGAAAAATTTACCTATTAATGTTTTAATGAAATTGTAGACTCTGGTTATATTATGTATTGAAATTGTGCAAAGTGTCAAAATCATGATGGTACAAAACCTATTTCAAACAATATAAATTAGAACAAAAGTAGGTATGTACCTATAGAATTGCAGCATTCAGATGAAACCCCAATACTTTTTACACTGCAAATTAGTAAGAAATTGGTATAAAAATTGGTATTGTTATTGTGGGCTGTGGCTTTAAGTTGCGTTTTAGGGTACAGCTACAAAATGTATTGCTTACGATATAAATGACTATGGATGAGTCACGGTAACAGTGTCACATGTTACAATTAGCAATTGCCAGTAGTGACGGTTGCCAGTTATTGGTGACAATTGGCGACTGCCAGTGAGAAATGATCTTTGCTTATCCAATCCTTATGACTGTATTTCATGCTCAGGAGAGATAAGATTATTCTGTCCCTGGTGATCATTATCTTCAACTTGGTTATCGATCGTGGTTGGCTCAGCGGTTTCCAGAATACTATGTGGAGTTTGCTGGCGAAATTCTTCATTTTCAGTTATATTTACAATTTCATCTTCAGGTGTGTGTTGCGCAGATGCATGTATGGTATGATGGTCTGGTGTATGAGGCGAATTTACTTCTACTATTTGACTACTCCGATCCTTTTCACGTGCGTTTGGTGACGTAGGTACAGGATGAACCACTGCTCACACTGTTATAGATCCCGGGTTAACATTTCTCTCATTTAAAAGCTCGAGAGCTTCTGGAGAGACATCAATTTGCACATCACGTACAATATTTTCGTTACTGAATTCCGTGTTATGAAGGGTGTTGCTGGTGTTAATCTCAACGGTATTATCTGTGACACTTGCCGGCATAAAATCTTCATCCATAAATACATCTGGATTCAGTGGCCAAATACCAGTTGCTTTAAATGCACTTTCTGCCTTTTCGAGTGAGGCTACTCTTTTGTAGGCGGCGCCAAAAAGTTCTCCAACTTTAAATTGCGTTATGCAACGTCCAGCATTAGTGACCATCCACTTATCCGTCTCTTGGCTGTATGCTGTTTTCAATGGGCCATAAAACCCTACATCCAATGGCTGGAGTCTGTGGCTACAATGTGGAGGGATGCTCAGCAAAACAATACTATGTTCTCGACAATAATTGATGCACTGCAAAGATATATGAGAACTATGATTGTCCATTAGCAACAAAACAGGGTCCACTGCGGTGCTTTTCACGTATTCTTGAAATGTTGAATCCATTCAAAGAACAAATCTGTATTTATGAAGCCCGAATCGGATACTAATAGCTTGGTTCCTGTAGGTGTACCATTTAATAATTCATCTTTTTTCCTTTTTCGGGAAAAAATTAGAGTAGGGGGTACATAGTGTCCCACTGCAGAAACACAACATACAGCCGTAGTCAGTTGACCACGTTCGGATGAAACAATCTTCCCTACCGTCTTCTTACCTTTCTTACTTATAACTTTTGGAACCTTGTTGGGCACAGTCATGATCGAAGTCTCATCCATGTTATAGATTCTTCTTGCGGAAAACTGGTATTTTAAATAAGCAGCTTTTAAATTTTCATAAAATCTAGAGACCTGTACCTTGTTAAAACCCGTGGTCCTATAGCGATGCTTGTTTTTTCGGGTTGCCTTATAGACAGGTTGTGTCTATCTCTATATCCTTTACACCAATCGTCCCCTGCTTGTTTTTTTTCCTTATTAAAAGGGTGTTGTATGTGGTTAGCTTCTGCAAACTCAAAAGCTAAAAACTGCAAATCTTTCATTGTGATTCCATAAAAAACTTGGTCCAATTTTAAAATATGGTTTCTTAGGCTCACTTCCATTTCATCAGAAAACACTCTACGAAATCTACCTAGAGAAACTGGAACTGAATCTGCTTTCAATCTTTTTCTTAAGGTACTTTCATTTATGCCTAAATCTGCAGCAATCCTTCTTTTTGCGTCTCCATTTTTCAATCTTGTCCTTACATCATTCATAACTGCCTCCGTGAATATCAATTTACGTTTTGAAGTCCGCTTATATCGCGGGCCCATATCTGAAAATAAAAACATTATTGCTACTGGCCTCACTGTCCAAGAGTACGCATTGCGCACTTTTGGACAGACGCGAAGTGCGCACTCTTGGACAACGGCGCACAAGTAAATAAAAATACCGTTTAAAATTAAGCGTTTCGTTTCCCTCCAAAATGTATCAGCCTATATCATGATAAAAACATAACAAATAGTACATATTTGATTGGAAACGATTATACTTTATTAGCAAACACAATAAACGTTAAGTCACGGACCTTAAAAATTACATCATACATCAATCCAAACTGAACTTACCTATAATACCGTTATTAGTCACGGGAACTTAACCAAACTTTTCACAAACAACCTTTACGCGCCAATACACGACTTGCAATACGACGTGGATGAATATGATTTAAACTGTTTTTATTAAATGCAATTCGTACCTACTCTTGGACAGTGCGCGCTCTTAGGCGGGTTTACCCTATGCACAGCAAACATTTTTTATGAGCTGAACAAACAGATTTAGGCGAGAGAAACGAAAACGTCAATCTGGTCTTTGAGTTACTTTCAATCTCCGCTAATTAAAAAAGTATGTTTAAGTACTTTGCGTAGGGCGCTTCCCTCCGGCTATGAAAAAATGAGCGAGGCTCTACTTTAGCTTCCTCATCAAAATCGTCGATTTTATATAAAATACACGAGAAGCATTTTTCAATTGAAATTTACCTAAACATAAAAAATAAGGATTGGGATTAATGCACAAATCGAAACTTGATCGAAATCGCTCCCATGGCATTTGTCTCAAGTCACATTGGACAGTAAAATTAATTATGTACGTACGCTCGATTAAAGCGCTTTTTAGATCGGATAATCACCGTAAATCGATGTTAAACTTGCTATAAACCTGTTTGGATGAAAGTTGATTGCTTTCTCTTC